GTTACTCTCTTTGTAATCTGTTCTCATCATCATCAATCACATATAAACTGGACTAGGGTTATTACTTGATAAGGGGCCTGAACCAGTATAATTCTTGTCTTTTGTCTGTTTTGATGTCGTACTACGTAGACCCCTGCTCCAACGTACCTTAATACTCTATTCATCCAGTCCGCGAGTATCACTCGTTGACAAGTACGGTGTCGGTTTCTACCGATCAAGCCAACCAAGCGCTCTGTCTCTACCCATGGAGGTGCAGTCGTACTAGTGGTCTGGTTGGGCCATTGTTTGCTCAGACCCCACAAGAACATTATGTACACAATGGGCCTATGAGGGCTTATGCATCCTTCAAATGGAGCAACATTTCCCAGAACTCACGACGGGACGGGATATAGTGCGCGCTCCAGCCGCTGAGGACGACTACTTCGGTTTTATTGGGAGTTCGGTTCATGCGTGATAAAACTGATCTCTAAACCGAGGACCGAAGCAGCGCAAAGTAAAAATTGAGCCTTCTCCCGAAAACTGGAGAAACCACTAGTTCGGCTCGATTCGATTCGGTGTTCGGTCCACGGTTTATTTCTGCCCACCCCTACTTGTTATTCAGTTTTGTTACAGGAGAGGAGAAGTATATGCCATGCAAGCTATGGAGGTAGGAAAGGCGAACGGATGAAACTCCTCTTTTATAGTAGCTGATAAGTAATAAGTGTTGGAGTAGAGATCCCCATCAATTACCCCATCCGCTAAAGAAAGCCACCAAGGATACAAGGGACCATATTGGTGGTTTATTGAAGACCATTGGATTTCTGCATATCAAATACGATGGCCTAAAGTCGAGTCCTCAAAGGATCGAAAACTCTTCAATAATACACTTGAGGGATAAAGCGCGCGAAGCTCTCAAGTAATTCGAAGAGCATACAATTGCCAAAGGAAATTCAAGCTAAAACTTAGACAACGCTCTTCACGAAGGAAAGAATAATCCCAATATTCCTAGAAGATGCTCAGGGACCACTAGCCATGGAACCGGGAATCCTAGTGCTTAGCTTGGCCCATGGGCCTAAACCCTAGTCGAAATACATTTCTAACGCTCATTGACTTGTGTATTGCACACAAGTTCAATTATCTCTCGAACGAGATTGAGTGAATAGTAACATAGAGAGAACATTGCTGCATCACAAAGTGGTCTGCTGTGGCTGCAACTAGGTATTTGTTGCCCATATCTATATTGTTTTGGGAGGTTATGAGTAAAGATGAATCATCCATTTAAGTTTTGGGTATAGAGATAATAATACCCACTTTACCCATATTCATAAGGTACTAGAAAAGAAACGCAACAAAGCAGCGTAATAGGCCAACCATTAGGAAATATCAATGGTCCAGCCTGTATAATGTTTTAATGGGCAAGTTTTATAAATGTTTTTTAAACAAGTTATATAAACGGAGAAGATGTGTTTTCATTAGCATCCAGGATCAATTCCTTCTCGGCTCTTCTCTTGCTTGACCCGATCATCACTGTTGGCATCACTATCCACTTCTATTTCCCCACCCCTATCCTCTCCCTTGACATCATCCGCTGCCTCTCCCAGTCCCAGGTCCTTCTTCTCCATAGGAAAAGAAGCTTGAGTCATCATTATCGCTAGTTTAAATAGGATGGTTGTTTTGGCTCTGCACCATAGCTATTCTTCTAGCCCAACCGGCAAAAACTCAAGAAAATAATTAGCCCTTTTCCACGATTAAATCAACGATTGTCGACTTAAATAGAAAAGATTTATACTTGACGCTCACCCAGATATCACTCCTCCACTGGAACATTGGATTTCCAGAAGGGCTGTAATATGATCTTGGGATGTCAATTTCTATTCCTATTAGTTGATTTCTAATGAAGGAGGGCGGCGGCAGCAGGGGGACCGGTGAGATGACGCAGACGAAGGAGGAGGCAAAAGGTGGAGGAGGAAGCAAGAAACCGGGTCAGATCAAGGTAGGAGATGTGGTTGTCTCGGTAAATTCAGAAGTCAAGAAAGGAAAGAATTATGTTTCTGAGTTTGATGATGATGAAGATGATTTGTTGGAATTCGATAAGGAGCCGCGGGTGATTAGCGACAAGAAAGGGGATGATCAAAAGGGTGGTGCACGGGTGAAAGTTTGCTCTAGGTGCACTCAAAAGGGACATGGTGTTGCTGATTGTAAGGTGGATGTTTATTGCGATATCTGCGACTGTAGCGAGCATGTCAACCACAAATGTCCAGTCCTAAAGCTTCCAAAGCCGGTGGTGCAGGCGGTTGGGTATGCGGTTGAAGGCCTAGGGTTTCAGCACATCCCACATCAACCGCTTCAAAGGAACAAGAAAAACACGAAGAAGGCTCTTGTGCGTGTGGTTGGTGGTGCTCTTTCGGTGGAAAGGTTGGTCACTCTTCTCCACAAGTTGTGTCCAACTAAATGGAAGTGGGAGCCGGTGCCGCACGGGAAGGACGCTTTTGTTGTTCTTTTCCCTTCAAAGGGCGAATTGCAATGGGCCATCAACTTTGGGGGTGCAGATGTGAAGGAAGGAGGGGTAGCCATGGGAGTGAGGGTGGAGTTTGAAGAGTGGTTTGTGGAAGAAGAGGGTTTTCTTCTACCTAAGGTATGGGTTAAGGTTTTTGGACTAAGGAAGAAACTAAGGGAATATTTAACTTTATGGGCAGTAGGCTCTCTTTTAGGGGCAACATAATTGGTTGATATGAAAACTACTAAAAAGAATGTTTTTGGGATATTGTTTGTGGCTATCCTTAACCCAAAATTGATTCCTAAGGTGCTTGATGTGGTAATTGGGGATCATTATTTTGAGTTAAAATTTGAGGTGGAGAAGAAAGGAGTCGATGAGAATGGGGAAGAAGTGGAGTTTAATTTGGAGGATTGGGATGGAGATGAGGAGGATGGTAATGTAGAGGGAGAGGAAAGTGGAGAAGACAATGAAGGAAGGGAGAAGGGACCAAAAATGTCAAAGGTTGATGATATGGTAACCGATGACAATCATGATAGGGGTGAAGGGAGTAAAGAGGCACAGGAAGGTGCTGATTTAGCGAAAGAAATGGATTTTTCTATGATGGCTGAAAATATCTTGGATGTGGCTGTCCAAGATGTGTTGGAAGAGGTGTATGAAAGGGTAGAGAGGGAGGAATTGGAGGAAAATGAGGCAGGGGTGCAGCAGGAAAAGATTGTTCAGCTGGCTAATGTTGGAGAGGTGTCGATGACACCAAAAAGGGCTAGCGAGAGGTTGATGGGCAGCAGCGGGAGACATTCACTTGAAAAGGCTAAGTCCAGGAAGGCGTGGATGAATCTCGACCCTCTCTCAGGTAATTTTCAAAGCAACTCAGTTGTCAAGGCTTCGGTCTTTGCTTCTTAAGGAAGACGAAGTCATTGAAGTAATCGCGAAGTCCAAGCTTTTAGAGAAGCGTATGATGGAGCTCTTCTCTACTTTTAGGTGGAACTTTAGAAGAAGGATTGAAGCTTAGCTTTTAATTCCTCTTACTTGTTATCCATCTTTAAAACTTATTTATGTTTTACCCATGTAACGGGAGAGTCTTATGTACTCGTGTTTGTGACTTTTAGGCTGTGTACACCCTCACAAGGTGTAGAGGCCGGGTTTTTTATAATCCATTATCTAAAAAAAATTAGTTGATTTCTATTCCTATGTATTAGTTACTGTGTATGGTGTATACACGTGAAAACTTGCGTGTACAAGATACATTTCCCAAATTATGCAGTTCAACATCCAAATAGGCATATCAACTGAAGACAAAGGTATCAGATCCAAGGCAAAATATCATAGACACGCTTAGCATGTTAATAACAAAGTGCAAACCAGGGGCTATCGACAAGTTTCAACACTTGGTTTTTCTGAAACCCGTCCTTCTACTGGGGAGACTCTGATGTCTGATGTGTTTCCAGTTAGCAATGAAGTTTGACGTTTTTCTTTTAAAAAAAAGGAAAGAAAAAAAAAGAAACAAGTCCAAACATTTTACACAGTTGACTATTGTGAGTTTAATTATTATGACAGTACATATGTGAAACAAAATCAGCACGGCTGTCAAATCTGTAGTAGATTGTTTGCATCTTATTTCATCGTTTGTGCAGATACAAAAGAACAAGAAACGCTTACTGTCTCACATGAGAATTCAATGTTCCAAAAAAGTATCAAATCGGTAATCAGTTTTGTGCGGTCACCCACCTATAATGTTTATGCGATATAATCGGTCACTTAAAGTGTAAGCAGTTTTATGCGGTCATCACCCCACCTTATAGCGATTATGCGATATGATCAGTCACTTAAAGTGTACAGGAATGTGGCACCTATTCATTGTATGCGGCCTTGTCGACATTTTTTTTAAGCACTGCATGACGGCATGAGATCTGCTGAAATGTGATTCTGAGAAAAGCTCTACACGTGAACTTGGGCACTGCATTGCCTCCACCATATGCTTTCTCTGAATTTATTCGTACAAAGGTACTCTCTACAAACTAATTGGTTTGTATGCATACAAGCAATCCCACATACTTACTTCTTCTTCGGAAGTTCTTCCGTTTGTCATGAGTGGCAGTTGGCGTAAATGTGAGTAAAGTTGATCATGGATGATGTGTGTTAAAAATAAACATTATATTAGTAAGCTCAGCATGTTCTGAAGTTTGTTGAGTTTTGCTCAACCTGATTGCTAAGGAAAAATAAACGTTATAGAAACTCAGAATTATAGATGCTGGTGGGAAGGAAGAAAATAGAGGAATACCACATGTAACTTTGCTTAAGATAATCCTGCACAACAATGAATGGTGACCTAATGTTTTGTGATCCTGCAAAGACTAGTTTTACAGAATTAGAAATTATTGTTTTTATTCTAAGGAAACATTGAAGTCGCAAATACAACAGCTGAACTCTTTTCAGTTATCTAGAGTTTTTTTAGATAGAAAATTATTTAGAGCTTACCAGTATTGCTCTTAGATCTTCTCCATTCATTTCTGCACAAAAGTTGGAGTGGAACAAAATACAAGGCATAATAATCTATATAAATTATATATTACATTGGTAAAAGAGATACAGATTGGGAGTTTTTCTTAGCTTCCAATTCTTCTAGAGATCGAAAGCATCTAGGCTACAAAAGTTCCATTTCTGCATTACAAGAAACCAAGCAGTTAACAAGCTAACGGCCAATGTTAATCAGCTTGATCTGTTAACAAAATGTAATGCATTACCTAGGTTGCAATTGGAGCTATATACATAGGGCAATATTAGCACACCATACATATAGAAAAATCACTCCTCGATCACAATCTCCATGTCCATGTCCATGTCAGATCTTCTGCCCCTGAGCCCAAGAATCTCGCCATTGGCAATCCTTTGCAGGTCAGCGACAGATAGCTGATCAAGCCATCTTACAACATGGTTTGCTGCTTGGAGCTCATAGGCAGGGTATCGGCTTGCAACCGCAACACACCTCATCCCAGCAGTATGCGCAGATTCTATTGTCGAATTTGAGTTACCCAGCACAAGACAAACATCAGGCTCAAGACCAAGTTGCCCTGCTGTGACCTCAAACATCTCCCCCTCGGGTTTCCCTCGGCAGAAATCCTCTGCTGCCACTATAGCATCAAAGTAGCCTTGAAGACCAACAGCTTTTATCCCTTCTTCTAGGCTCAACCGTGGGCGAGGAGTTGTGATTGCTATTGGAATGTCAAAATCCACAAGGGTGTTCAGGAAATCAAGAACACCTGGTCGCAGTTGGTAGAATCTACCACGTAATGTTTTATATATTACCTCCTTGCGTGCTGCCAGCCTTTGTACTTCTTGTGGATCTTCTGACCAATGTAAGACTTCTAAAATAGCCTGATCAGTCCTCATCCCCTCAATTTCCTTCAGCACTGCATCTGGAGGAAAAGACTTTGCCTCTTCAAGTGATAACACGTACCAAACTCGAGGCTCCAAATCTGGATCATCATCTTCCACAACAACTCCTTCCCACTCCAAGATCACACCAAATTGATTACTACTTACCATTTCTTCCTTCTTTAGTTTCTTCTTTGAGGGTGGTCTTCTAGCCATTTCTGGTGACGCCAACAGCCAGCTGAGGTTTTCAGGGAGCCTATAAACCAATTTGTAGAACACATTATCCTCATGGGCCTGGGGGCGATTCTTCAGGTCAGTGGCATGAGGCTTGACACGTATCCTCTTCATTCTCATACTTTGACCCACAGTTTTTGCAAGTGAAAGCACATTCAGTGTAGAATGTGAGTTACTTGACCAGCATTTCCTGTAAAGTTTGTGAATGGACTGGTGGGAACTACCAAATAAGCTGACTGAAAATATCATCTCGTCCCGAACCCCTAGATTATCAAATCCTTCGTGGCAAGTCTGGTTCTGCTCCTATAAAGAACAAAGAGAACAAGAGAAGAATCAAACTTGACCTGTCTTAAAAACAAAGAAATCAGTACAAGTACAAAAATGCGCAACTATATTAGAGGGAACAGAAGGCCCTATAAATCATCAATCTTAAGTTAAGTCACTCAAAGTTTTTGTGGGAGGTTGGGGGTTCTCCTGGACAATGCAAGTTCCGCAAAACGTGCAACTTATATTTGGGGAGCTTAAGTTCTCCCAAAAAACTTGCATAGCGGCAAAAGTTGTCAATATACTAGATTGCCATATGCATTTGATTTGCAACTTACTTCACACTATTGCGGTATACGATTGCTACTTGTAGGACGCACTCTTCCAAACTGCTAATTTGAGTTCGAGAAAGAAAAGAATGCCGAGCCCCAATAATGTTTGCCAGCATCTGACAGCAATAATACTACATGAAGCAAAGTGCCTTTTACTAAAGAGATCCTTTTGCATCTGAGACAAGGTTATTGTAGGTACCAGGAGAGGAAAAAATAAAAGTTCAGCTTAGTACAAAAGGTTGCACGAACTGAAGCACAATTGCTGAGCTTAAGCAGGTAGTGACATTGCAAAGTTCTAGCCAATGACACATATATACAGCTCCAACAAAATGCCAAACAATGGGGCATGCTCACACACACACACGAACTACCCCCTTTTCAGTATTTTCTCCCACGCAGACGAACTAGGAGCATGCGCAAAACAAGAATAGCCAAATGCTTCAACTACCAAATCCCAGACAATCCAAGTGAAACCGGATGAATCTTGCTGACCTGAGGAGGAGGAGGAGGATGAGCAGCCGAAGAGTGAGTGCTTCGGCAGGAGGAGCGAGCGGGGGGCCGAAGCAGACCAGACGAGGAGGCGCTCTTGTCCTCTGCGCTTGCGCTCCCCTTGGGTGGTGGTGGCCAATGGCCATGGCTTCCCCACCCGGATAAGCCGACAGACGTGTGGCCGTGTGGGCGGCTGCCTCTCCAGTTCGTCCCGGACACGGTCTCCGCACGACAATGGCAGGTGGGGCCTGCTGCGGTGTGGGCCACTTTGTCAGTGAGAGCAGAACGGAAACGAAACGGCGGGGAGGCCCAGGGGAAGTTGAGGCGCTCGCGGTTCTCGATGGGCCATGGGAAGTTGTATCGGCATGTGTGAGCGGTGCGCCCAGAGGCCCATGAAAAGTTGTGTCGAACCAGTTCCGGTTATTTTGCCATAGTCAGCTGTCCAACGATTATTTTGCGCCATACAGTTAAAGAGCTGTGAGATTTTTTTTTTCTTGATGCATTTATTAATTCAACATCTTTCCTTTGTCTCAAACAAGTCTATACGGAAAATTTCTAGAGGAATGCAAACCTCTTAAATTCTTTCAATAATATGTTGTTCCAAAAAAAGCCTCAAAGCAGATTTTAAATATAAGCTTCTGCGGTAAGAAATATGAATAAGTGATTGCTTGTTTATATGCATAACTAAAAAGTGTTATATTTTAGGATTTTATATTATTCAAAAATAATTTAGAATTATTATTTATTTTATTTGTGACTGGCTTTATTATCCAAAGTACTTTAAACGCAACTTTTCATTTTTTATATTTGCATAATTTTTTTTAATAAGACGAGTGGTCAAACAGTACAAGTAAAAGGTCATAATCCTTTATATTATGGAACGGAGGGAGTATAGCAGTATCTACAATGTGGGAATAAGAGTAATCACAGCATCAGCAATGTATATAGCAAAAAGTGATTAATATATATGGGACTCACATACATGGACTTTAAATATAGTAATATACACGAGATAACATTAGGAGAGATAGATAATAGGAGTATTGTTTATTTTATATGGGTAGTCCATATGCATATAGGGTTTGTTTGGCTACTAGATTTATGGTTGCGCTGTAGCTGCACCAACAATGCCGCACACACGCAGCGGTAGCATAGCCACAGCCGATGTTGTCCGCTTGCCGAATAGCCCAATGGATATCTTTCATTATTTTCTTCGTATTGATTTATTGTACAATGTTACTGTATGACTGATGTAATATTATATTATCTATGAACCATGTTATTGGGATATCCTAAGGGAATCTTATCAGTATATTGTAAATGTAGATCTTAAGCACCAAATGGAGCAAATGGGCTCTTTGCTTAGACCTGATATCTCAAATAAAAAATTGATATTTTTTACAAACATCCACCTTAACACTTATTGGACTTGGGCTCTATAGAGTTACATGCATCCTATATATTGTATAAAAATCATCAGACGAATCTCTATGTTTTCTTATCCATATTATTTAAATTTTATTTAATATTAATGGTGTTCTATATATCTATATACCGCTAATGCTCTGACACTCCTCTTGAGATAGAGGGGATAAAAATTCCTTTGTTCCAAAGTAGGCAGGGAAGGTTGCAGAAAAACCCCACGCTCCGCCGCTACCGCGATGGTCGCTCCGACGACCACCACCCCGCCTCCTCCTCCGCCGCCGCCGTCAGAGTCCACGCCTACCAGCGACCCAAAGCCCCCGCCTCCGCCGCCGACGTCTTCGACCGCGGCACCGAAGAAGCGGAAGCTGGAGGAGGTGGGGTTTCATCACTCACCCTACTACAACATCAGAGCAGCCGTCGCCAACCTCCGCGGCCGCTTCATTCAGGTCTCCCCCACCTCGAACCCTAAGATATTTGTTGAGTGGCATTTCTCTGCTCTGCCATGGCAGCAGCAGCAGCAGCAGCACAATCAACTGAACAGGTCATGTTCCCGTGTTCTAGCGCAACGTGTATGGGATGATTTTGCTTGACGTGGATAAGTGTGATCAATGGTTCGAGTTCGAGAGCTCGAAGCTATTTGCTCCGTGCTGTGCTTGCTGGTGAAACTCTGGGAGAATTTAAATTAAAGTTGAAGTTGAATTTTGGGCCAAGTCTCAATACAATTAGGCGCGTAATCTCTTTCTAGCTGAAATTTATGGTGTGATGATTCTGAACTGAGTTGTTAATGCCACCATTGTCCTACTATGCAAATGAACATTTTCATGGCTGATGTGTGGCTTTGGGAGGTATTGAGAGTTTTACCCCATATTGTTAATCAAGAGGTATACCTCGCTCTCAGTAGAGACTATACTTCCCGATTAACACTAAAAATACCTCTCTACCTCCCAAGGACCAGAGAAAAATCATATTATTGTATCATAACTTACACCAAATTGATATCCCTGCTTGCTGTTGGTTTGACAATTGTAAATGCAGTTTGTTCTGGGAAGAACATGAATCCGCTCTAAAATGTTTACTTTTTCCTTGTTGTTTTGAAGTTATGCAAAGGCACTGATACCCAAAAGAAAGATGCCGCTCTTGAGATCCTGAAAGGTAAATCCTAATTTATATTGTTTTTGAACAGACATGCGGAACGTCCTGATTACATTTTGAGTTTTTGACTATTTTTTATCATCATGCTCGCAAGTACAGAAATCAGTATGGTATAGGAGATTATGTTGATCACTCGAACAATTTTACTTTCACCTTCTTTCATAAAAGCACACTTCTCTCTTGATATTTTGCACACTAAGATTACCTCAGGTGATTTGACAGTCATTGCCTCTCTGTAGATGTAGTCCATAGTCACTTCGTGCTGTTAAGATATCTAAAACCCTTGTGATTGGACACTTGCAATTTTTCATCAGTTGTTACATTTCTATAACTTGTAAACATGTTGTTTATAGTCATTATACACTTTTACAAATTCCTACTTATATTGTCACATGATGTATTGTATTAGGCTTCTTAATGCAAGCATAACTATCGGTTACATACTCCAATAATAAGATGCCTAGTACCCTACATTAGTAAGTAAGTGAAATATAGTGCATTAGTCGGTCATTCTGTTAGTGTAAAAAAGGCTACTGATGTACTTATTCATAATATCCTGCATTAGCCCAATCATAATTAGCAATTTGAAAATGTACATGTTATCTGTAAAGTTAAAAGGTCAACCAAAGTGGATCCCTGTTGTTTGGCCTACAAAATCTGTTGAGCACCTGGAGCTTAATGTTATATCTGGATGTGTTTATTGATGATAAGTTTAAGCAATCTTCCCTTGGTTCACACTATGCAGAGATAAAAGTTCTCATGGAATTATCCAAGGAAATGCGACTTGATCTCCCAACTGCAGCTGGGCCTGTAAAACTGATGGATGAGCCTACATCAAGAGATGCCAGAAATATGCCTGCAGGGAAAATCCCACCCGGAGAGAAGAATCAAGTTCGTCCAGCAGACCAGGCTGCATCCTTTATGCATAGTTCTGGTGAGAAGGTACCACTCAATCCTGTGGACATTAAGCATGATGCCAAACCGAGTGTAACAGATTCTACAAAGAAATCAGGACAATGTTTGCAAGGATCTTATATTGTCGGTGGATCTCCCATTGGCTGGAATTTCCTTATGTGGCCTGGAAGTAGCACAAGGTACTGTGGTTTAACCAGATCAGAGTGGTTGGCACGTCAATCTGCAAAATGAAATGCCATGATCCTACCCCCCAGCAATCTAACAAGTAAAGGCAGTCAAACTAATACCGTACTTTCAGATATTCCTGGGACAATAGCACAATTATTTGCTGGTAGCCGATCCGATATTATTGAGCAGCGGATGACACCTCAGAATGATATATATGACATGGTAAGGCATGGTAGTATCAATAGAAAGCAACTTTTGAATGCTTTTGATCGCTCCCTACAGGATCAATCACCACTAGATATCATGTTTTTCTTGTAGTAAACTGTATGAGCCAAGCGCTCTTGCTATGTTTTTCTGTTCAGAAATGGAAAAATCAAGTAATGTAAGCGCATGGCAACGCTGATATAGTGATGTATGCTCTTGCTTAACAAGTTAGAAGTGTCCGACTACTTTTCCTTCCTTTGTTTTTTGTTTTTTTTTTGGCAACTTACAAGGAAGTATCTGATTTCATATTGTCGCTTATATTTGTCAATCTTGCTCAAACCCTGGCAGTGGACGGCGTCCGAAGTGCTCTTCAGTGTGTGCTGCTGAAAACTCCAATGTATGGTCCTTCCAGACGATTATCAGTTGCAGGAAAACAGAAATCACCCTAAATAAGGGATTGCTTACAAGCTTTCAAGATTCAACTCAAGTTTTGGAAAAAATAATTTCAAACTAGGCCCAAGGTACCACAATATTGTACATGAAATTCTCCTCATGCAGGTGCAGCTGATTTGTTTTGTTAGTCAGGTCCTAAAGATGCCAGAGTCAACTGTCGCTTCTCCCTGTTTAAATTCATTTTTTCATACACCGGTGTAGTAATCAACAATGTTTTAGACAATTAATGAAATGGCTGATTGAATTGGCTGGTGGAATGTGGAAGCGATCTGTGGCCGGAATTTATGATATTTATCCCTACCGTTTTCACCCCTGCATATATAATGATACAGTACTCCCTATGCCATGTCTCAAATTATAACGCGTGGTTTGACTTGGCATAGTATTCAGAATCAAACTTTAATTATTATCCATAGTAAATCCAATGCCATAAAAGTACATATATGCTGAGGTTCTTAAAACTATTATATAAACTAGAAAAAATGCCCACTATTATATAACTAGAAAAATATCCGTGCGTTGCAACGGGTAGAAATATTTTTGGATCGCTATACATTTTACTCTTTGATTTTGTACCAAAAGTTCATTTCATTCCTTCCTTGTCAACTGGAGTTGTAGGTCCAGCTCGCAGAGCCGACTGTTGTCTTCAACCTCCGTAAGACAATGTCGTGTTCGTACATGCCAAAACCGATCCTCCCCATCAAATCCGATCAAATCCTCCCCATCAAATCCGGTTGAATCTTTCTCGATCTTCCAAAATTGATTGAGGGTTTTTGATACACTCAATCCCCTCGTTTTTATTAAAATCGGAGCTACAAAACTCGGGAGATATCCTCTTTCCGTTTTTATTAAAATCGAAGCGACAAAACTCGGGATAAAAAGGGTGAATTTTAAATGGAGATTAAATTCAGTGAATTAAAGCGGAGTTAAAAGGGGAAATCATAGTAAAATGGTTAGGGAGTAGCGGGGAATTGATTTTTGGCAATCAATTGGAGGAGGGAACGCATGGGAAGGCAGATCGACGAGGTGGTGGCGCTAGTGTTTAGCCGGGTGTTGACGAAAAAATTGAACACACCGGCCTGGGAGATCTGCTTAGCTCCTGTGCAGGTCCAAATCTTGATGAGATGCAGCCATGCCAGTCAGTTTGATCCTGCAACTGACAAGATATGCAAACAGTAGATCAAACAGCCAATCGGCTGACAAGCCGATGGAGTAGTTCCAGCCGATAGCCGATAATAGCCGATGCCGATACCAGCCGATAGCGATAGGGTTTAAGCGATCGGCTATATGTCCAATGTAGATAATGATATAAAGGCAATCGGCTGATGATGATGAAATAAAATAACAATATAATCCAGTATAAACCAATCGGCAAATAATGATATGATAAATAAGCATCGATCCGAAGGTTAGAGCACACATCGGCTGGAGGTCTGATGTCATGAAATCCACAAGATTAGATTAAACAGTGAAACCTTTGTTGTCATCGGCTAAATCCAGCTTATATGTATATACAATCCTTATGAGCTGATGCAACATCCAGATAACTCATTGGCTGAAACCTCGATGAAACCCTTATTGGCAATCAAGAAGCAGCCTAGAGATTATGGTTCTAAACACGACTTAGTAGATCAAACTTAATTGATGCAGCACTAAGTATGAAAAGAAACATAATATCTAGGCAATCAAGCCGTTGACTGAGTTTTCAGGGTGGAGGGTGGTAGATGTCTAAGCTAATCTAATCTAACAACGCGATTTAGCCGATACCGGCAGAAACCCTAAAAAGAGAAGCAGTCGATAGAGCTAAATTGATATGCTAAGACTAGATTAACATAGACATATGATAAATAGGTAGGCAAATATATCATCCAAACCAGAGCAATCAAAGAGGTCGAATGTACTGATGCAGCCTTGAACGACGCCGACGTAAATGATACAATTGCCCGGGCCAGCGAAACATTGGACTTACCCCTTAGCCGGAGATCGAACACCGATGCAGCCCCGCGTCAGGTGCCAAGTTCCGCCGGACGATAAAATAAAGTAGAAAAGGTAAAAGGTGGCGATGCGCCGAATTGTATTGATCGTGAAGATAGATTACATAGACCCCGGGTGTACATATTTATACCCATGTGTTGATACAAGTTCTTGCCGGACAAGAAAGAAACTTTCCTAAAGATAAAAGGAAACTAACAAATTATTTCTAATTAATAGATAACTTGCCATGCCGCATTCTCTTTGAACTCGGTCTTTTCTGGATAAGCTTCATTTAGTAGATCAATCTCCTTAACCGAATATAGCAAGAATCCGACAACTGACGACTTGACAACTCTCATCGGCTAATCTCAGAACTTCAAAGCCGATGACTACTCCGGACTTACCAAATTTCACTGTTAACACCGGGCGACAAAAAAAATATGGCACGTAAAAAAATCCTTACCGCATGCGAAAAAATGCAACTAAAAAAACATAAACAAAGAAAAAAAGTATGAAAAAAAACCCAGTAAAAAGGCCTAGAAAAAAGTAAAAAAACTGTGGATGAAAAAAAGAGAAAAAAGGTGAAGAAAAAAAGGCGGACGAAAAAAACAATGGATGGAAAAAAACAGAAAAAAAATAAAAAAAATAAAAAGGTTCAGAAGGACGGAAATAAAGAAAAAAAGGACGGATAAAAAAGAAAAAAAAAGAAGCGGACAGAAAGAAAAAAAAGGACGGAGAAAAAAAGGAAATGATAAAAGAAAAAGAAAAAAGGTGAAAAATAAAAAAAATTACGGAAACCTTGCGTATTTTTTTAATTATAGGTATAAATATAGATATGCTCATGTTCTTACCGTTTCCTTACCGATTTGAATTGGAATTGAATTGGAATCAAACCCGTCTTGTTCCGGACTCCAGCTGCTCCTGCCATCCATAGAGTTTGAGTTCATCTCAAATTGCAAACTTAACGTCGGGTGATTATAAAAATTTATTTGAGCCATTATCCAGGCAACCTCGATTGGGCAGGTTGAATAGCCGATATGGCAGAAGGAGAGGAGAAGAGGGGCACCGGTGGCAGAGGAGACAAGAAGGAGAAGGTCCCCCTCGGGTTCCGGTTCGAGCCGAAGGAGGAGCTCGTCGAGCACCCCTCGCCGCAGCCCGGGCCCCAAGCAATCGCCAGCATCGCCTCTTCCGATGGAGAATTCTCCTCGCCGCAGCCCGGGCCGGCAATGGGAACCAGCGAAGAGGCGTCGGGCAATAAGAGGCCTGCGGAGGAGCACGCCGCCGTGGCGCAGAGGCCGCATCAGCAGCGGAAGCTGACCATGGGAGGAGCGCCGCCGCCACCGCCCGCGTCGTACATCGGCGGCGCCGGCGGCATGCAAATGCCGCTGAGAACGGCCGTGCACGACAATCGAGCCGGGCACCCGATGGCACGTCCGGCCGGCCACGCAACGGCGCCTCCTCCTCGGCAGCACGCGACGGTCAATGGCCCGATGCGAATGCCGAACGGGCAGGTGGTATACGGCGACCAGATGATGATGCGACGGCAAATGGCGACGGCCGCAAACAACAGACGGCAAATGATGTTTCTGCAACAGCTGGCGGCACGCAATGGCCAGCAGGGGATGGTGGTGGCAGACAACGGGCAGGCCTCGTCCTCGCAACGGCCGCCGCCGGCGTGCAACGGCCAGCAGGCGCTTGTTGTTCAGGGATCGCAGGTGGCAAGCAACGGACAGATGTCGCCGGTACAACGACAGCGGGCGGCAATGGCAGCGGCGTACAACAACTACCAGTATCACCAGATGCTTCTGCAACAGCAGCAGCAGCAGCAGGCGGCAATGGCGTACAACCTCCAGGCGCAGCATCTACAGGGGAGAGAGGTGGTGGCACACACGACGTCGGCACAACAGCCGCAAGCGATGATGCCAGCGCAGGGGGCGGAGGTGGAACAAAACGGAGAGACGAAGTCGTCGGCGCAACGGGCGCCGGCGGCATGCAACTGCCCGGCGCATGTGCAGCGGCCGCAGGCGCGGCCATTCAACAACGTCCCTCCGACGCCATTGCGTCCTCGCCCGGCAACGGCAGCGCCTACTAACTCCGGCAACTCCTTTGATCGGACACTGGTGATGCGACGACCGCCGTCGCCGTCCGTCGTCCAGCCACGGCCCGCGCAGGAGACGCCCGAGATGCACGCGAGGCGTGTGCTTTGGCAGCTCGTGAAGGAGCTCTTCCGCCAACGACGTATCGATCAGGCTCAAGCCGCTGCTGCAGCTGAGCAAGAACGGCTGATGATGACGCCGCCGGCGCAGGCGCCGCAGCAGCCGTGCTCCGACGCAGTACGGTGCAACGATGATGGCGAGAAGCGTTCCGCGGAGGTGGCAACTACGGAGGTGGCGCCGGATGGGAGCGCGTCCGCAGAAGGCAACGATCGTCAACGTGAGTCACGTGACTCACCGGTCGCTCCACGGACCGAGTGATTTAGGGCCCCGTTCACATAGATGCCAATTTAAAGCATACCATTATTGATAAAATTAATAAATATATGGATGTTTCTAAACCATATCATTATTCATTTTGGCAGTGATTTGAACATGCCTTTAGTTGTTGCTAAAATTGAAGTTGGGATGGTATATCTTTCTTGGAATTTGTGATAATGCTTTTTTTTTTGCAAGAATATGATATACTAGCTTATATATTCCATCTCTTTGGCAAAGGAGGTGGAGGCTGCGGCGGCGGTGATGGTGAAGGGGACGGATCCAGTGGCGGCGGTGCTCGATGGTGACTTCAAGGATAACAATGGTTGCCACCACCACGACGGCGGCGGCGGCTGCGGCGGCCACGATGGCCGGGCTTAACTTTTCTATGTTACTCATGTCTGAACTGGTTGTGATGTT